AAGAACTGTTTCAGTGGCTATAGATGGGGAACATCAGTAGTATAAAAAGAACAATAGAGACTTCTCAAATTTTTATATCTGGGAAGGCAGACTAAAACTTTTAGAAGCAGTTTTAAAACTTCTACTAATGTGTATCTTTATGCAGCTGCCTCAGTGCTGTATTCTGAATGAGTTGCTTGATACAGAATTTATCATAAAAGTTTCTGTTTTCAGGGTATCTGATAAACAAGCATTTGTGGAAGGCTAAAAAAACCAAAACTGCCACCATTCACCTCTCACCCCACCAAATCAGCCATGCAATTACTCCTTGAAAGGGCTGGCTGTTCTTTCAGGTCAAGAAAATGAAAAAAAGTTTGGTGTGATAAGGTCAGAGCTGGAGAAAGAGGAATCTTGATCAGCTGTTGCTGTCTGTGGTCAGCAGTGAATTATCTCAATTCAATAAGCTCAAGTCTCCTTGGGTAGCCATATATCTAGCTGTAATTCTCTGGTTTTCCAGCCAGTGACAGATATGGATAAAAAGATTTTGAACCCCCTACTACTGTTAATGATTTCAAAATTATAGAAAAAGACAATATGTTTAAGTAAAGGTAGCAAACATTTTCTCCTAACACTGCCTCTGTGTAACAATTTTGATAGGTTCTTTAAAAAATAGAAAAAGTGCAATAAGAGCAAAACCCTTAGACAAGCCAGGTAATGTAAAAAACTGTTTCATCCTAGCTGTGTACGTATTGTCTGCAGCAGGGACAGTCTTCATGTTATTTGGGATGTATAAGATTAATCCATGATTGTGGGGATTTCCTCAAATTGAAGAGTAATTCAATTTTGAGGCCTGTCCAATCATCACCTTTCTGTCAATTTATACAGCATAAGAATAATTAATTGGAGGTATTTTTTCATGGCACTATTTTATAAGCCAAAATGTGGTAATTATTTTCTGTAGACAAAAAGCTCTAAGTTTGGTCCTATGGTTTCAGGCTGTTGACTTAAGAGTCATGTGATTACCAAGAGTGGTGTCCAAAACCAAGCCAAGATTTCTTTCTTCCTTTGCTTTAAAAATAAGCCTGTCCAATGTTGTGTAACATTCTGACAGAGAAAATCATGCAGTGCTTTAGCAAACTATAAACTAGTAAGTGCATAAAAATTGATTCTTTGCTCAGCCTCCATCTTCGAGCTTTTTTGAAGATACATCTTTAATACATTGTACTGTCTCATTAGACTTTAAAGAATACAAATTAAATTTGTATTTAACTGCAGACCTAACTGAATACTTTGCAAACAACTCTCTCCTGCCCCCACCTGTAACATTAGTTTTATCTTTTTGCTGAAGTTGAAGTATTTTCAGGAACTCTTCTTACTTGCTCTTGGTGCTGAATGCAGAATAACTTGTTTGCTGAGGCTTGCTGAAAACCTACCTGTAATTTTAAAAGCTTAGAGCAAATAAGTGTATCTTTAAAAAGTCGGTTTTCCTAGTTGAGGCAATTACAGTAACATATCTGCCAAATATTACATGGGATTTTTTTATTCATTGTAGTTAGATGTATGTGCTGAGTGAGAGAAGGCATCAAAACCTGTGCTGGTTTGGGTATGGCAGCGTGTGAATGTTTTTACCTACATGACAGGCTAATTTCTGTGCAAATATGACACTACTTCTAGGGAACGAAGTGAAGGATGTAATGAGACTATTTAAAAGATGCATAGATATTTTTAGGAAGCTTTGATCAGCTTATCAGTCTTTCAAATTTTTTTCATTGCTATTTCTTCTAGTGGAGGACAATAATAAGCATTTTCTTTAATCTCTATTTCACTATTTTACATAGAAGCTGAGTATAGCTACGTCTATCTCATCTTTACTACCTTTTTCCTTTCTGTTAATGCTCTAGAGAATATGGAGAATTGGTATTAACAGGGAGAAAAATGTCCAATATTGCAACTCTCCAATATAACTTGTATTCATCAAAGCTGGCATTTCAGTCTTAGAGCAGTACAGTGAAAGCAGCCTTCCTTCAGGAGAACTGGGCAACCACAAATCTCCCTTTATGCATTCTTAGCATATTTACTGTTTACAAATAGTTTAGTGTGAAAAAATCTAGTTCCCTAAAGAGTAGTGCAGGAGATTTTGTTCTTTTCCATTTTCCAGCAGTAGAATCACCACATCCAAACCTTATTTGGCATCAAGAAGAAAAAATGCTCTTGAGAGTGTGTGACCAGCACTTGAAAAACAGGACATTTAGTAGTTTCAGCAAAACAATATTAAAGTGTTCATTGGGGTCTAAAATCTATTTCCACTTTTTCTGTGTTCCTTGGATGTTCCCATCATCTCAAGCACTATTGCTTTGGTCTAAGCATCAGTTGTGGAGAAAGCTATGCATAGTCAAAAAAATTTCAAGTATAAATTTAATCTCCAGCTGCTTGTACTGTCACTTCTTTTCCCCCTACAGCAGTTTAAATGTTGTGATGTATACCTTGCTTGGACTTGAGAAAGTGAGCTGTGTACATCTGTCACTGCTTTTATTGAAGCACCTCTTATAGGAAGTGGTTTTTTTGCTGGATCTCAGAAAAATATTGATCAGATTTATTGTGGGCTTTATGGTATATTCCAATAATATTTAAAAAAACCCAAAACCTGACAACCAAACAAAAACCCCTAAAGGGTATGTAGCTTTCTTGTGTGTTGCTGTAAGAAGCATAGTGTTATTAAAACTTCACTCTCCAGTGAATTACAGCTTTTGCAGATGGAAAAAGGATAGAAAAAAAAAAATGTTTACTAAAACTCAAGAGTAATTGGGCAACCTGGCACACTGTTAAAATAATTCAATCTTTAAGATAAAATGAAAGTGTGAAGGGAAAATAAATATCTACAACTTCAACACCAAGCCGTCTCAGAAGTATAGAAGATAACCAGCACTGTATACCTGGACAAAGCATTATTTAAAAACAAGAACAGACCATGATACCTATACATTTTGTGTGTTTGTTTTCTACATTGTATTATTTGGTCTTTTGCACTTAAACCCACTGTTTCATTTGGGCAAAGGAGGAAGGGGAGTTTAGCCAGAGTCTAAAACAAAAGTTTCCTAATTTGTGTGTGGTTTTCCCCCCTGTACCAGCTGGATTATCTCCTACCAAAGTAAGAAATGCTACTTTATTGGAGAACAAAATTTGTGTAAGGTTTTTCTTCATGTACATGCAATGTGTACATGTTGGGGGGAAATGATACATGTTTTCATGTGAGAATCTGCTATCTTGTCTGGTAGAGGTAAATCTGGAAAACCAGCTTTCACTCTGAATAAATGTTCATCTGTTGCACTCAGCGTTAACTGTGAGCAGGGAGGTGAGGATGATGTGCCTTTAGAGAGTGGTCTAGAGAAGCCAAGGTGAGAGTGGGAAACAGGAGTTCCTGGTCCTTACATTTCATGCTGATTTCTGAGCTCAGCAAGATCAAGAGCTCTTCAAAGCCAAAACACTGACTTGTGAGTGAGGCATCAAGGGCTACCACTTGAACAAACAGCAACATCCAACCTTCATTTACATCTTCTGAGCTGAGGGAGGAGCAAGCTGGTGTAGATTGGCTGGAATGAGTGTCAAGGAGTCATGAGCAATTTCTAGTTTGCAAACTAGAGACTTTTTAAACTGCTGAAGAAGCAAGATTTAGAGTAAAGCTTCGAAAGAGCATATTAAATAAGCCTCTCTGTCTATTTACAGCTAGGTAGCTCACCCCTTGGGTACTAGTACAGTGCATTAGTTTCAACGTGTATTGGGTTGCATGTTGAATGACTGTTGCTGATGTTAATAACTGGCATTTTGTGCTATCCTCATCTTATTTTGCTTTGCTGATCATGATGAAAAGTGAAGTCTGACAAATTTATTAATATGAAAAAAATATATGTAATGTGTTAATATTTCAACCTTCTCCTTTTATACAATAAACAGTACAGAATTGTACCACATTCATGAAAATACTTTTTGCACTACAATTTAATTAATTTAAATGTGTGTCTAAGCCCTGAAATTTTCCTGAGTGGTTCATCAACTATGTCATTAAAAAGCTTGTACTTGTTGTGTCCCAAGTGCCAGTCAAATACAGCATGCAAGAATTATCACATGTTCCTGCTGTGTGCAGCAGCAATTTGAAAGTTTGGTGAGAAAAATAGTTACTTTCAGAGAAAAGAAGCTGTGCCTGTATATGCATCAGAGCTCTCCAAACAGTCAAGGCACTAGAAACAAACATGTCTCTGCTGTAAAATACCTTTGTTCTAAGCATGCAAAATTCTGTGGTTTTATCACATAAGCAAATGGAAGGTCTTCCTTGAGTGGTACACTCTTCAAAGTAAAACAAAGCTAACATTAGAGTTAAATACAAAAACTTATTTCTAATATAATTTTTTACCATACCCTCTACTTTTTCATATTTCATTGTATACAATTGGTGCTAGATGTTTCAAACTTCGTAGTGTCTTTGTTTATATTTTGTTTTCAGGTGTTTTTTCCCCTCTCCTCTTTCTCAAAAACAGAGACACCCATGGTAACTAGTATCTCTTTGGGTCATAACAATACTTTTCAAAACAGACAGAAGTATGCCATGAATATATATTGTATCACTATTGAAGTATGTAAAGGGCGTGTCTGTCAGCAGTGATGTTTATGGATCTAGCACCAACTGAGAAGTTGAAAATTAGAGAACCTGTCTAAAATGTGGAACAAGAGTTTAGTAGTGAACTTGCATTGCAGTACTGTAAAGCAACTGTACCTCAGAGGACACAAGGAAACAAGAGACAATAACTCAGCCTGTGCTCTTATGAGGTATTTTCAGGCATTCCTGGGAATCAATGTTATATTTTGTCCTCATGCAATGTATTGCCATCCATTGAGGGTGCTATTCAGTTTTCTGGAATGCCTGCCCTTGGATTGACACCCAGTATAGTGAGAGTCACAAAATACAGATAGAGGCAGGACAAAGGCACTTTAGTGTCTTGCAACAATCTATGCTAGATATTTATTTATTACTGCCCAGCAGAAAGAACAGAAACATACTGACTAATTTTTACCAGAACAATAATCAGACATCCACCAGTAAACATGAGTGTAGGCCAAAGGAAAGCAAAGATGAGACCTTTTGGAGGATAAAGTCTGCTTAAAATAACATTGGTCTGCATTTCTTCTGGGTCATAGTAGCATGGGATAGTCTGGTACTTTTTGAAATTGCTTGCAATTGTTTCTATTCGTGCTTTAACTTCTTTAGAGTTCTCCGACTTGCCTGGGACATACGAGCACTGGAATAAGAAATGAAGGTGACTCGTTATAATGATACTCTGATGCAGGATTTGTAGTTAAGTCATATTGAGTAAACCAAACATGCTAGTACTGACAAATTCCTCTGTGGATTGGCTGGCATCCCTAGAGATTGTTTTGATTTCTTAGGTCTATAACCCATTTTGTGTGCTCCCCTGTTATTGTCAGTGTGTCTGTGCCCACAGTTTGTGGATTTAGGTTGGAGTAATGCTCTTGGAAACCTATAATACATTTGTGTTTGAAATAAAACTGTGATCTTTGAGACTGGCATTTTATTACTACACTGCCAAGCTCTGATTCTTAGCAAAACTTCTAGGCACCACCACAACAAAAATATTAGTTGTACTGGAGTTCACAATTTGCTTGTTGACATGCAGGAAACCAAAACTGCTTCACTGTGCACTGTCTGGTTATAACTTGTAGACAGATAAGAGGAAATATGGCTGTTAGAGGCTTGTCCTACCTCACTTTATGCCCCGTTTGAGTGCTGAGTTGGCATAAGCTCTCTGAAATACTTGCAGCTTTGGAACTGAACTGACCCTGCCCTTCCTAGAGACAGTGCACTTTCAGGAGCACTGCTGGTTGTGAGGGAGCAAAGCTAAAAATGTTGCTCTTTGTTGATTCCCAACCACAAATGTGTCAGAAACATAAGGATAATCCCCTACTTTCCACCCAGTCTTTCTCGCATCTCTAAAGCCAAATGAATACTGTGCACCCATGTTTCTGTCCCACCCGTGGTCTGCACTCACCCTCTGGGGAAGAGATGCCTAAAACAACTGACCAAGGCACCTGTACCCCAACACCCATCAGTACATAGGTGCTTTCTACACTGCATTGTCCAAGAGTCTAGGTTTCTGCAGCCATGCTGGCCAGAAACAGTTGCAGAGTGAACGAAAGAAAAATTAATTTTGAGTGATTATCTTTCAAAGTCACTGATTGTTCCTCTTCCTGTGTAAAATGTGCATCATGTTCCCAGCAGTTCCTTCATTTTCCCTATCTCTGCTTTTCCTGCTTCGTGTCATGCACTTAAATGGAAGTAAAGTTGGGATTTGTGCTCTTAGAATAGTTTTTAACTTTGGGTCTCTCCTGTGATAATTCAACAGGCAACTCAACAAACCACAGTTTAGAAACTATTTCTTACCATCAGTCTTCAACTCCAAGGCTTAGATATTTCTAAAATATTCATTGATATTAAATATTCATATTTTGTTGGTGTAATTGCTTAACTAGAATTATCTTAGTGATTGTTGTAGCATTTAAAACAAAATGCAAAACTAATTTCTGAAATATTTTTTTTAAAATACCTTGATCTAAGCACAAACAGTGACATGTAAAAGATGAACAACTCTTACTCTGCTCCTCGGTTTAAAAACAATCGCCCCTTCTTAAAAGTGTTAGATAGTATCAGAGAATGATTATTGAAACCGTGTTGCAAGTACCTTAGGATTTCTTTCCAGTGTGTCTTCAGTCTGATACAGCATAACCTCTTGTCCAGAGGCTGTCAGATTAACCCACACCTGTAGGCAGGGATAAGGAAAGATGTCCTCATCCTCTGAGCCTTCGCTGTTTAAGCAGGGAACTTTGTCCTTGATGCTGACTTTCAGTACCTTGCACACAGTTTCTGTTGTCCAGACACTAGAAAAACGAAGCATAAAGTATTTTAAAAGTGCTAGCAGTGTCTGTTGTGAGCCATGGGCTGGAGATGCCTGTGTGTGGCAGCTGTGAGTGGTGGCAGGGCTGGAGCTCCTGGCTGCTCCGTCCTGGCATGGGGCTCCTTGCCCAGCCCAAGGCCAAGGGCTGCCACAGGAAAGCAAAGCAGGAAACCAGGTTTTGGGTAGTTGTTTGTTACACATTCTGTGGTTTGAAGTTAGATTCTTAACCCCATCTGTAATCAGCTTCAAGAGTCATTCAAGAAAGAAAAATTGCTATGGATTTGGATGTTTGGTAACAAATTTATGGAAAATCATGCAGTAAGCTGGAAAACTTCACCTTGTTATTAGAAATCTGGCTGAGTATGGTGGAGCTTTTTCTGTTTAGAAATATTTTAACTGATTTCATTCAATAATGCTCAGAACTCAGATAAGTTCCCATGTTTCACCTCCTCCTTTTTTTTATTAGATGAACCTTTTGTGTGTATAAGAAGTAGGATTTTTTGTAAAATTAATTTTTTGCTACTACTTATCCTTTTTTTCTCAAAAGTTACTTTTCTTTCTGAAACTGTAGCAAATTTTTGCTTTCAGCAGTACACTTGGGGGCAACAAAAGTAATGATATAGTCGCACCTCAGTTCTTAAACTAATCTTTTTACATGCAAATGTAATTTGAATGTAACCAAGAGGCTGGAAAATACAGAAAATATTAATTACTCTGTTTAAAGAATAATGTTTTTTGAATGTTTTTAAGCTTAAAGGTGCTTTTCAGCAAGAAGAATGAGGTGGATATACTTTCTACATCAAAAACTTCTAGCATGAAAAACTAAGATGTATTCTTCATCTTGTTACTTTGGTATTTTGCAAATTGGTTTTGTGTGTGGAGGCAGAATTTGCAAAATGAAATAAAAATGCAGGTGATAGGAACTTCTTCAGCATTCATTGAATGTACAATGTACTAACATGTATTTTGACACTTTCAATAATTGTTTTTGGTGCTGACAAGAAAAAGAAATAGCTTTGTATTCATAAACAAGTAACTGTTATTACCTTTTAGTGTAGAATGGCACTATGGTGATCCCAATAAAAAAGTACATCATCATGGAACATGCAATCATTCCCAGTCCCAGGCACAGGGCTCTTGTCTCCCCTCTCTTCTGTGCAGTCACCAACTTTTTCCCCAACATTATTTTGAGTTGTGAAATCTGAACAATCTAATGTAGAATAAAATAGGACAGGGAAACATTACTGGGTTTGGTTACAGGTATCACAGTGATGTAGCAAGTTCCTGAAACATAATGTAGCACATAGAGGAAAGGAAAGAAAAATAAAACCAAAACTGTCGTGCTTTTTTTTGTTAGCAGTAGACACCCTTTTACTTTCTGTACTGCTTTAAAAGTTTGTGTGTGTGTAGGCTAGGAAATGGGGTAGGAAAACCTGGTCACTTTTTGGAAGAGTTCTGTTAACAATCCTATTGTCCTCAGCCTTAATTCAATCTATTTAATTTTGCTTCTTCTCTGAAGTAAGAGAATATAGTGTTGCATATTGCACCAAGGGAAAATCCTCCCACAGAAGCATTCTGGTGCATTTTCAGGATTTCAGCTTCAGTTGTGTGCAGCAATTCAGTGTTTGTCCATGCTGGCTGGCCTTCAGGACAGTGTGTTCCCTGTCTAAATCCACCTGTGTTCAGCTAAGCAATGGAGTAAATAGAAAGACTTCAGTTTAGAGGCAGTGGAAGACAAGCCCAAGTCTGAGTTAGCAGGTTATACATGACTAGATGGTCTCCAGATGCCCCAAGCTGGCAGGGCTATGGTGTTACTGAGCAACTACACTGAATCTAGTGAAAGATGAAATAAAGGAATGATCAGCTCTTGAAAGAAACAGAATTCATATAATCTGAATGTTGCTTTCTTTCCTATATTGTTCTGTTTTCCACTTGTAAAAATGCTTTTCACTTTTAACAATCAAGGGAAAAGGCATTTGAACATTGAAATGCTTCTGGTTTTAGACTCCTATAAACTTGAATGTTAGTGTTATTAACAATAAAAACATAATGTCTATAGAGAGTGAAACAGCTGTGGTCATTTAGCATAACTCGAGGCTAGTTACAAAATTTATGTACATAATTTGAAGCCCCTGCATCACCTGATAGATGGTATAGAAATGAAAGGCTGTTCTGAGGTGTTCAAAGGAATTAAAGGGGTTGTTGGAATACTGAATTGTGTCAAGTTCCAGTTTTAATTCCACTTTAAATAAAATATCAGTGTCTACTGTGAATTTTCTATACAGCATTTTGAGGGGAATTGTTTTTCTGATGGTCATGTGTAATTCTCTGGCATTATAAGAAGCATCTTCATTTTGAAATTACCATCATATGAACACTACTTGCTTACTGGCTTTGTAGTTAATACAGAATGTGAGCTATTGCCCTTAAATAAGGCATTATTGTGCTTTTCTTGGTCTATGCAGCTATAAATAGAACACGTAGCATCAAGTGCTTCAGCCTGCATGCACCCCACAAGGAAACTTGTGTAGATGTCAGTAGTGACTGTTCCTTGGAAACTTCTGTTGCTGCTTTAGTTTCGTGGCAGAAAAGAAGAAATGACATTTTTAAAAAAATAAAAAACTTTATAAAATACTTAAAATATTGGAACACTAAAAGAGAGCAAATTAAGACCAACTGACTTTAAGCTGAGTCTCCTTTACCTATTGTGCAACTTGGTCAGAGGGAAAAATGCAATAAAAGAACATCATCAAGTCTGGGAATGTACAGGCCTTGACACCATGTGATACCAGAGCAGCTGTTTCTTTAAACACAGTGGGAAGCTGATGATAAACAAGTGAAAACCTGCATTCTTAGCAAGAATTTCTTAAATACAGTACCAGTGATTAATCTTTAAGTAGTTCTGCAGGAAAATAAACAAGTGAAAGACTCATGCTGCCACCACATTGTGTGGAAAACTTCTAATTGCCTAGTGCTCTTTATTTCTTGAATTTGAGATGAACCATTATGTTTACATAAAAAAATGTAATTGCCCCATCAGTCTGCTTGAATATCAGTCACATTAGCAGCAGAAGTACCAGTAAGCTCAGCCTTCCCAATCATCTGAAACTGACAGACTACCTCTTTAAGACACATAAGGAATTCATATGTGTAAACTGGAAATGTTTACATGTGGCCAGGAGATTTTCCCAGCATGATGTGTAGAGTTGTTCCCCATTCTGACACCAGCTGGTTCTCTGTGTGGGCTGCTGGATGATCCTGCTTGCCTCTGCTCCCCCAGTTCAGATGTCTGCTCTACCCCAAAGAGAATAAGGACACATGAATTATGCAGAGAATGTTAACAAGAAAGATTGGTCTAAAAATATCTCACTGAATGCCTCTATAAACATACAAAATAATCTACTAGGTCTTCAAGCCATGCAAATCAGAGGTGCTCACGTCACTGTTGTGTTGCTGTACCAGATGAGCTGTAAATGTGGCCCCTAAAACTGAAATACATACTTCCTCCTGTATTTTTTTGTATGCTTTAAAATTTAGATGGAAAATCTGTCACACTATTTTGTGCATGGGCACAATGATTTAAGGGTAAACCTGGGTGAGCGAAGGTAAAGCCCTTGTGCATTTGCAAATCAAATCCTGCATATTCTCTCTCACAACAAAGGAATGCTGCATGCATACAGGAAATCTCATTTCCCAGTGTTTAAATGTTTAATTTTTTCATATCAGAAATTCTTCTCTTTTATCTCCCAGCTCTGTCCATGTATATTAAGAGGAGTATTAAAAGAGTTAATCAAGTGCTTCTGACAAAATCATTAGATTTCTGAAAAAAGAAGCACTGCAGAGGACTTGATTGGCCAGGATTCACTGAGCATATCTGAACTGGAAGATGTTGAAGCATGTAACTTGACTTTTATTCAGCCTTCAAGAGGAAATACGAATGTATCTTTTGCACTGAAGATTGTAGGGTGCCTCCATAATTATTAGGAAAATATAAGCTCCAAATCTTTTCATAATGTTCTGTCTCTCTAATCTTCAGTTCTAGTTAAATTATACAGTACATTAGCTATGCAATTTCAATGTGTAATCACTGCATTGACAGCTGTTGGTGCAAATCCTAGGGATGCCATCTACTTAGGTTTGGAATAAAACTCCCTGTTTTTATTATTAGACATGTTTGAGACTTGGTGGGAAGAGTCTGTGTCTTTCTTCCCCTTCTCTTGAGGAGTTTTCTGGGACCTCTCTCTTGAACTATTTCAAGCTGCTCTAATCTTCAGTATTCCATATCAGTAGCACTGAATTCATGTTGCTCACTTGCAGAAGAAAGGGTGCTACACCCTTCTCTCAAATGAAAGCTTAGAATAAATGTTAACAGTGAGCTACACATTTTTGAGCCGATTTCCACCATCCATGGAAATGTGCACAAAAAATAACATAGCTGTCATGGAAACCTAAAGCAGCAATATTTTGACTGTGTTGTATGATGCAACTTTTTTTTTTTTTTTGTAAATGAAATATGCTGTATCACTTTGTTTTAATCATTAACTGTTTACTTGATGTGGCACTAGAGTGAATTAAAAAAGTTAGCTTTGTTGCTTAACAACCTGTGCAGTTATTTAAGATAAATTCTGTTAGCTTTTAAATAAAGTGGTTCTTAGAAAAAAAAAAAGTTACTTGCTTAGTTCAGCAGATCTGAAGTTTTTCTAGAGTGTTTCTTGTGGAATCTCTGCAGTACAGGGCTGCACAAAATGAACTAATTTCAGAGAATGTTTTGGGGAAGCCTGCAAGTGTCCAAGTGCCTGGTTCCTCTCCAGCTTAATTAAAGGTAGACAAGCCTTTAAAGAGGAATGATGAACACCTAAAGTCATGAAATGCCTACGAATGTAGGTGTACTTGTCATTAAAATGAGTAAAAGCTGTGGGCTGCAGATTCCTAAGATTCTGTTGTTTGCAAAAAATATTGACATTACCTTTGAAAATATTTATGTAGAATTATTAGAATTATTTTAGTTACAAAAGAGAGAGCAACTTAAACTTTCCTGTGGTGAGTGGCCTATCTATCTAGGTTGTCTTCCATAATACTACAGATTTAGAAAGATTGTTTCTTCCAAAAACACTTTTCAAAACCCAAAGCTATTGCATGCTCCCAGGGAAAAATTGTTGCTTAGAAATATACTTACTGTTTTTGATGAAATGCTTCTGTGTCTGATAGAAAAACTTCTGTTACGTGACAGACCTGGGATAGTGGCAGAATTTAGAGCTGAAAGGGAATTTCATTATTTTTTCCTTTCTTGTACTTCTCTGCTTTTGCTTTGCTGTGGCTGAACTCGTAACTTAGTTCCCCTATTATGAAGCTTTCTCTAACCATAAATGGTAAGGTATGAAAGAGTACTGTCCTTTTTGAGATTAATTGCTGGAAAGCAGGAAACCACAATATTAAGACCAACTACAGCTGAAAAGGCAGAGTTTTCTCATACTCTAGGGCCCTTTCCACCTATCCTGGTGGATTTATCTTAAGCTATTTATCTTAAGCCACTACTTTTATACACCTTTTTAGTTTTGAAATCTGTTAGGTCTTTTGAATAAGATGTAAGTATAGGCTCCATCAATGACCAGTGGCAAAGATCTTTAATACCTAAACACCTGTTTGTGAAAGCTTTGTTGCCACCAGTTTTGGTCAGATTGGATGCAACAGATGCTAAAATTCTGACTTTACATCAGAACCTTATAGACAAGAACAAAGCATTCATCATGCCTTAGACATATTAGTGTCCAGCATGTTCCTCTAGCCAAAAACCCAAGTCTGCTTCTGGGACATATAAACAGAAGACTCCTAGTACAGAGCTTCAGAGAAGAGCTAAAATAATAGCTTTTATTTCAGAGGGGAAAATTCTTTTATTGGGAGACTAAAGGAATTGAAATGAGTGAATCCAGTAAAAGCATTAAGAATATTCTGAGCATTGTATGAATGTTCTGAGCAGGGCAGGATCCCTCCTGCCCTGCATTAGGTGTCTAATAATAGCTGTTTCAGCTTAAGCTGGTCTTCCAGGCTTCTTTTTAGTAAAAGATTTGAAATTGAAGTGTTCAGAGAGTTCATACTGTCTGAAATTAACCATTGAATCTTCCCCAAAAGGACTTTTCCTATTATCATTGGTGCAGAAGAAAGCACACCAAGCTAACCTGGATT